TTTCCCTCTCTCTCTTCCTCCAACTCCAGGCTCTCCTCTGACACTTTCTTGCGCTTCCCACCTTGAAACACAGAGTGAACCACGTCCCCAGCGGCACCGGGCTGCTTGCTGAAGCACCAGTTCAGTTTTCTTCGCCCCTCTGGTTTGTTCTGGGCAATTTTCTGGCACAGACACCTAAGCTGCTGCTGGCATGTGGAAGACAAGGGAATGGGAGGTGGGGAACGCTCCTCTCCCTTCAGTCCCTGCCAGAGCAGATCCCCCAGTGTCTGCACCCAGGGATCCACGTGGGAATCCTGCTCCATTGCCTGGAGCAGCTGGCTGAGGCAGCTCCCTGGCACCACAGCTTGCACCACGAGGAGCAGGGAGAAAAGGTTTCTCTGGCACACAACGGGGAGCAGCAGCAGACGCGGTTTGCTGGAAAAGCGGAGAAAAGGGAGAGGCGACTCAGAGCAAAGCCCCAAGTCCTTACTGCCAACCTGCTCTGCAGAACAGGGTCTAACAGGATTAGGAAGAGAGATGAGGCAGCAAACGCCTTCACCAGCTTTTGCAGACACAAGCTGGAAGACTGGCGGGACCCTGCTATGATCCTGACTTCACGTACGGACTGCTGCACCGGGGGGAAGAAGATGCACGGTGCTGAAGTGGGAACCCGACACGCCAAACCTCCCACGAAACACCAAGTATTGGAAACATGTCTGACTCACACAGCCAGGGCCCCCTCCGGCCCCTCCAGCGTGGGCTCCTTGGCACACAGGGCTGTGGTGAAGGCCTGCCAGGGAAACACCTGCCCCAGTCCCTCGTGGGCCTGGACCCGCTGCAGCATTAGGACAGCGGCCAGCGTCCCAGAAGAGCCAGAGGCGAGCGCGTGGAGCAGGAGGCGGCACGGCTTGTCAAAGCTCTGCAGCCAGGGCAGGCATGGGGGCTCCATTGCTGCTGGGGGGGCTTCACAGCCACCTACAGGAAAATCGGGGAGAATCTGATATGGGTCACACTGAGAAGGGTGCAGGGAGGATCGGCACATCCAGGACCCGGCCAGCCCTGCTCTGGAGCAAACCCTGGGGTCCTCCCTCGTCGGCTGCAGTTTCGGGGGCTGCCCTTTCTTGTGTGCAGCAGGGTCCGTGCTTATCCTCATCACCCGAGGATGCAGAAGCATTACCGAGGACCACAGCCGGGCCTGAGGACCGGGAGCTCCTCTGAGCCCTCTAAAACAACTTCGCTCGCAGCTGCCCCATCACCATCTCAACGTTCCCCCCGCTGCCCTCCCAGGGGGCCAAGAGGGAAAACCCCCTGAGGGCTGCTGGCGGTGGTCCCCTCGCCCCACTGCGGGCCCCCCCTCCGGGAACAGACCAGCCCTAACCCGGGGCCCGCGCGGTTATTACCGTACCCCGGTTATCAGCTCCCGTCCCCCGGCAAGCCACGGCGAGCGCAGCCACCCGCCCCCCGGCAGACACTCACCGCGGGGAGAAGACGCGCTTCCGGGCCCGCCCCTCTGGAAAAGCGCGCCACGTATGCAAATCAACCCCGCATGCAAAATTTATGCATTATGCAAACGAATCCTTAAAGCCCAACCCTAACATCCCCTCCCACTCCCGCCCCCGGAAGGAAAGCCCGCACGCAGCGTTGCGTTGCACAGCCCAATTTTATTTCATAATTTCCAGATTTGGCTAAAAGCAATTTAAAACCGTGCCCCACAGCTGCCGGGCTGCCCCCGCCCCGGCCCCGTGTGCATTAAAAACCCCCACTGCCCCCCAGCACCCAGCCCAGCCTCCCGCGAGGGCTCCCATGGGTGCAGATCACTGCACCACCAAGGAGGTGACAGCAAGAGAAGGGGGGGGCTGTGCCCCACTGTCCTGAGACCCCTGCAGCTCTGTCACACACACCCCGCCCCTGGCTTCCTGGGTGGAGCGGGGATGTGAGACCTGCTGGGGGTTCAGCCATCGACATGGTGGTGGCTGATAAATACCAGCCAGACTATTTCCCCATCCCACCCCACCCCTGCAACACCCTTCATGCCTGGAGCCACCCCAAACCAATGCCGGGAGCAGCTAAACACATCAAAAGCAGATGCTTCCCCCTCCCAGAAGACGTTTCCTTGCCGCCAACAGCACCCAGGCCCAGTGGGGCACCCAATGGCTCAGTCAGAGTTGCTGAAGTCAGTGAAGAGCATCTCGTAGCCATAACTTGAGTATCGAAAGTCTGTCTCCATCAGGGCCAGCGTGAGAGCCCATTCAAGCATGCAGAGCTCCTCATCCTCCTCGTCAGAGCTCTCCGAGGGAGAAGGGCTGAACTCCTGCAGCACAGGAGAGAGGATGAGCCCCAGCCTTGAGCTGCATTGCATGGCCATGCAGTGCCCCAGCCCCCCAGGATGTGCTGCCCCACTTACAACAGGCATCCTTGGCCGCTGCTGCCTGTACTGTGGCAGCCAGCCGGCAGGCAGCTCGTGCAGGTAGATGCAGTCTGACTTGAATGGGCAGCGGCCACGATTCCGGACAAAGAACTTGCACCTGATTTTCCTGTGGGATTCAAAGCACAGTTGCAAGCGCAGCTCCCGGAGCAGCACAGAACCCACAGTCCTGCAGCCCACAGTGCCATGCACTCACCCTGTCCGTGCCTTGAATGTTTCGATGAGCTTCTCCTTTTCACCCACGTCCGAGACCCAGTATTTGTGGGGGATGTAGTAACTGGAGGTGACCCGGCACTCTGGGCAGGCCCTGGGTGAAGGTAACGGGTCTAGGTGGGTCTCCCGAAAAGGGAGCAGGGAGCACAGGCTTAACAGCCATGCTGGGTGGTCCCACCACCACGGCCTCATCTAGCATCCCAGTCCCCATCACAGCTCCCAAGAGCCTGTTCCTGAAGGAAAGTCACTCCAATCCCAAAGCCACATTGCCAGACCTAAGGAGCAACTTTCAGAATGCAGAACGGGTGACTGTGACTGCCCTGCCATGTCCCCATCCCCACTCACTTAATGACCACACTCTGGAAGTCCCGGCTGCAACGCCACTTGCGGATGCAGCCCACACAGTATGCGTGGCTGCAGTTCGGGAGGATCCCAAAGAGCCGCTCCTCTGGCAGTGGCTTCTCGTACACCCGGTCCATGCAGATGCCACACACCACAGCCTCGCTCCGGGCCGTCAGCACCGCGGTAGAGACCAGGGCTGCCGCAGTGCCCGACTCTGTGGCGACCTGCAAGCAGAGCAGCACAGCATTGCAACCCCCCAGCTCCATCACTGCTCCAGTCTACGGGACTGATGCAGGGTGACGGGGACTGCCCAGCTGCAGGAGACCCCCCAAGCCCACCTCTGCAGGGTCAGTCCATGTCACTGTCTCCTCCGCTGCCTTTCTGAGGTCAGCAGAATTTGGATCCAGCCCCAGCCCTTGCAGTTGGGAACCTGCAGGCAGGAGAGCTCTTAGAGGGGAAAAGCACATCCTGCCCCATCGTCAAAGAGGCTCGGAGGCCACAGGCTTAGCACCTAAAAAAGCTGCTAGTAGAGTTTTCCACAGCCCCAGCTGTGCCCTGCCCAGAGATGAGGGAGGAGGATTTGGGTCAAAGGCAGACACATCCACAGGATGCTCCACCGTGACCACCCCGGTACCCTCAGTGCCTCTGGTCCCCAGGCACCCTAGCACCTACCTGAGGCACGCCGAGCTCGTGCAGGGACAAATTCTCCGCCAACAGCCCCATGGGGGATGTTGTCAGGTGCTGGGATGTTCTCCTTGTCTTTCTCTTCCTCCTCAACCTCCACACTCGGGAACTTGAAGGCCACATGCATCACGCTGGGGACAGGGTGGGCCGAGTTGCGCCAGGCTCCCCCCCAGCCCCGGGACACTGCCACAGGCACACTCCTGGGCTCCGAGCCCCAGCGGCTGCGGGGCACAGGGCTGCAGCGGGTCCCCACTGGCACCGGCTCCTCTTGGATGTGCTGGTAGCTGGAGGAGCCCAGGGACAGACAGATAGAGGGTCCCATCAGCCCAGCATGACACCTCCTGGCTCCCAGTCCATCCTCATAGCATCAGGCCCCCTCCTCACTCCCCTTACCTGCACTGCTCTCCGTAGCTGCAAAACCCACTCTGGAAGTACCTGCAGATCTGGGCTGACTTTCTGTCATGCGAGAAGCGGCAGTTCTGGCCCCGTTGACAGGATCCGCGGGCAAAATTCCTGCCAGCCGAAGAAGCCACATGGCTGGGGTCAGATCCCACCCCAGCCACCCCAAAATTCCCTCTAGGTACCAGCTTTGCCTGGATGGGGCCATATTTTTGGAGCCCCCAGGCTGGTGTCTGGGCTGAGGAGCCCCTCACCAAGGGCAAAGCCCAGCAGGCAGCCAGGGCTCTCCCTGCCCCATCCAGCCTTATCTCCTGGCTAATTGCGAAGCAAATGAAGCCCAGGGCTGGGCTGGCCGAGGGGGCTCAAGCAGCCACTGCACAAGGCTGGGGGCTCTCCCCGGGGCTGGGGGAAGCACGGAGGGCTGGGGAAACCCCCTGTTCCCCGTGCGGGCGTGGAAAGGCGCAGGAGTCCTCGGCTGCCCGGCCGGGGTCCTCCAGCTCCGGAGGGGGGGCAGCTGGATGGACAGGCTCTGTCCCCTCCAGCCCCTCACCCTCCAGGGGCAACAGGACGGGGGGGGCGGTTCAAGGGCATCACAAACCACCCTCCGCCCCCCCCCGCCCCCCCCCCCCGCAAGCCCTACCTGCACAGGGGTCTCAGACACGCCCCCCGGGCCCTTAACGCCCCAGATGCCACCAGCGCGGCCGACTCCATCTCCTCCCCGGCAGCCAAGAGGACTGGGCGACCTCCCAGGGCTATTTATGGCTTTGGATGGGCCGGTGGGCGCAGCCGGTCCCCACCCAGGTAACCGTCACCTGCCCGGCAGGCACAGCGGCTTAACCCTCGCCCTGCCGCCCCCCCCACCCCAGCGGGGACCTCCGGGACTCCCTGTGCCCCCACCTGCCTGGGCAAGGCTGGGGGCAACGGTACGGCTTCTCCCGGGGGCCCTCGAACAGAGGGGGGAGCGGGAAGAGTGGGGGGTCTGGAGCTGCTCCCTGCAAACTCTCGGGTGTTCAGACCCGGCCAAGAGCAGAGCCCGGTGCCAGCACATGGCCGGATATCCATGGGGTGGCTATGGCCAGGCTCAGCTCATTGCCCAGCTTCACCCCACAGCAAGGGCCACGGCCAAGATTTGGGGCAGGGAGTGCTTGGCTCTGAGGCTGGGACCCCGCTCACGACCACCTCTCATTGCTTTTATGTTTGATGGGAAATGCAGACAGGAAAACCACAGCAGCTACAAGACCTGGGAATCATGGACACCCAGCAATCATGCCAAATCCCTGGAAATCACAGAAAATCCAGAAAATCCCATCACCTCTGCTGGAAACCCTTCCAACAGCAGCAACCCAGGGGCTGAGAGAAATCCCACAAAGAAAGGATGGACACTAAGAGGTTCTTAAATATTTAGTTCAGATTTATTTAAAGTCAAGTCAGTTTGTGGACACTATTTATATTATTAAAAACACTTGGAGGTTTGTACTTCTAGCAAAAATATACATTTCAGTTTGAGGGTTGTTACACTGTTGAGGAGGGAAGAGCAAAAAGTTCCCCAGGTGATGAGTACACAAGTCCTGCATGCTGGCCATGGTGGGGAATGCCACTGGGGGCTTTGGGAAGGGCAAATCCCCCAGGCTCCTTCCAGCACACACTGGCGCCTTCCCCAAGAGGGCTTCAAAGTGCTTTAGAAATGGTAATTTATAATACACCTGCGAGGTAGGGAGGGGAAAGGGCTGGGCAGGCAGAGGGCAGGGAAACTGAGGCAGGGAAAGGAGCCGGAGGGTGGCAGCAGGGGCAGGTTCGAGACCAGCCAGCCCTCTGACATGGAGAGGAAGCCCAGCATTCTTCCCCTTTGTGTTTTAAAGGAATTATTGCACCAGGGAAATCTGCTACCCTGAAGAAGAGGAAAATAAAACTGACTAATTTGCTCCCACAACCCCTCCTTGGGAATATTAATATTTTAAGAAGGCTGCCTGGGACACACGGGACCATGAGCTGCAGATGGGTAAGTGCTGCTTCTTAGGTCAGACACCATCATTCTGAGAGGGGACCGAGCCCTTCCCGTGTCCGTCCTCTCTCCCAGAGCCCAGGTGAGGCAGCCCCCCCATGCAGGGGTCCCATCCCGGGCACAGGCAGCACTGTGGCATTTCACTGCGGCTGCAAGTTGTGAGGTGAAGTCCTAGAATGGCTCTGGGTTTAGGCAGACCTTGAAGCCTGGAGCTGTCCCTGCACTCGGGATGGCAGCAGAGGAGGGCACGGCAGCTTCCCTGACCCGGCTGTGCTTGCCAGGAAGCTCCTGCTCCCTCCCCTTTTATAAATACTTGGCATTTATACTGTGTTTTACAGCTGCAAAGCTCTTTGCAACCAATGCACTAATTAATCCTTGTGCTCCCCTTCCAAGCAGAGAGCAGGTGACAATCCAGCTCCCTTTCACAGAGGGGAAACTGAAGCAGGGCAGTTAACAGACAGGTCAATGCCCTTTCAGCATCATGAGCACTGTGGGCTGGCCGTGGCTTTGCTTTCCACTTGCTGGCATTGCTGAAAGCTTTGTTTGCTCCGGTGCTCACAGGAGCCATGCTGCCAGGGAGCCTCTGCTGCTCACACTGCCCTGCAAAACCCCCAGAGCCCCCCCGGGGCTTGGGAAGGGAGCTGCAGGACAAGCTGCAAGCCCTGCCACCTAAACCCGACCAGTCCTAGGCCTGCCCCTGGCCCTGCACAGACCTTTTTGGTAATTCATATCTGCGCAGAAAAGCCTGGGGAAGCAAACAGATTCTGGCCTCTGCTCTGAAGGTGAATTTTTATGAGTCAAACCCTTTCCCTTCCACCTCCCATCCCTTCGTCTCTCATACTGAGGTGCCGAGGGGCAGGCTTCCTCTGAAACAGGGGTACCAGGAGCAAGGGCTCCCACACAGCACTCAGGGGAAGGCAGAGATCACACAATCCCTCTGGGAGACAGGAATACGCCGCACAGCGAGGGGGGGCTGCAGCTGAGGGTCTCTGCTAGGACAGCCCTACCCATCTGCAAATACTCTGGCTTTTCTTTGGGAAAGACAGAAACATCCTTTCGTTACACTGTCCTAGACTTTACGGCTCAGGACTACGTCTTCGGAGTGCAATATAAAAAAGAAAAGAAAGACACGCTGTAAATGCTGTTGCTGGCCCCACTGGATACCCGCACCACGCTTGGGTCTCCTAATGACCAGAGCATCCCCCACTGTTCCCAAGCTGCCACAGGAACCCACCGTCTGGGCCATGTAAACCGGCCGGCTGCTCCAGAGGCCCCAGAGAGCAGCTGAAGAGCTGGGCCGTAGTAACGGAAACAGTAGCTTATGATTTGCCTTTGTAAATTTGTTAGTGTGTGTTAACGGAAGCCCTGGCCTAGCAGGTGGTGGCTGCAAAATTTTATGGCATCTAGCCCTATGTACCGTATGTCAGGGTCATGTAGAAAAGAGTTTCCAGTAGAAGAAATGGAAGACATGGGAAAAGGTTTTCTTTGTTTCTGTACAAAGAGTCTTGATAGGAATCCATGGCTTCGTTCTCATAAATAACAGGTCCTTAGTACATGTCCTTGTAGATCTCCTGCAGAAGCGGGTGCAGAGACGTCTCTGTCTCCGTCTTCTTGATCTTCTGCACCAGCTGGGCATGCTCCGTCACCAGCTGCCGCAGGTCGGCCATCTTCTGCAGCAGCTTGGGGAAGAGGTACTGGGCATCTGGGTGGTTGGACTGCAGGTGAAACTCCAGCGCTCGCAGGATGTTGTCTTGGATCTCCTCCACCTGCTTCACATTCATCAGGCCAGGACGGTCTGTGGAGAGGAACCACGGTAGCTGTAGTGTTATGGTGTAGCCCCCCAAAGCACATGCTTCTCTTGGGGAAAGGGAGACGGGGACTGAAACCCACCCACCGTGACTCCAACGTCATCAACTAGACAAGGGGAGAAATGTGCCCTTGGACAACATATCCCACAGCAGCCTACAAGGAGATGCCACTTCTACGCTCCTTGTTCTTGGTCCAAGCTTGCTAGGCGTCACCGCCACAAAGAAGCTTTGGTTTTGGAACTGTTCAGTTCTTCTCTTGTCCTCCTAAGATACCCCTGGCTGATCTCAGGGCCAGCTTCAGCTCAGCCCCCCCAGCCCAGCCCCAACCACCTCTAAGTACAGGAGGACTCTTCCCGAGAGTCGCACGGCCAAAAGCACCTGCTCACCTCCGCACAGGATAATGGCAGCCACAAACAGAGACAGGTCACTGTCATCCAGCTCCAGCGCATTGAATTTCACAGCAAACTCGAATTTGGGCTCCATGATCTCATTGAAAGGCTTGCGCAGGCTGCGCAGGAACTCGCGGGTCACGAAGCCGTTCCCATTAGCCACCAACAGCCCATCCTTGTTCATTATAGAAGCCAGCATAGCAAAGATGGCCTCATGCACCCCGTACTTCAGCAGAGTCACTTGGTCGTTCAAGTAGAGGCCTATGAAGCTGGGGATGCTCTTGGCGAACTCCGTGAGCTCCCTCACAGTCTCCACTGTGGTGCACTGGCAGCGGTAGAAGACGTGCACCCCGATCTCCTTTCACTAGCTGTTTCCAGACCAGCCCCTTTTCCGCCTGCCACAAGGTGTCCATGTCGTGGATCACAAAAGGCTGCTTGACAAAGAAGCAAGCAGTTAGGAACCTGCCGCGGGGACTCAAGATACCAGCTCTGCCAAGGACACTCACATTTGTCTGCCTGTCAGTGCCTGGGCAATCTGCACCCACCCACAACAGCACAAGTCTGAAGAGCAATGGGAATTTTCCCAGCGAGGGGCAGGATGTGTAGAATCCACCTGACTGCAGGTGGGAACTGGTGCATGTGGAACAGCTACAGCAGGAGGGAGATGTGCAGCATCTCCCAGAGAACAGCCTCCCGTGTTGTTTCATGGCCAACCCCACCTGCCCCGCGGAGGAAACTTACTGGGGTGCTGCTGGCCTTCCCGGTCAAGATACCTCTCGCCTTCTTTTTGGTCATGTTGAAGTTTTTCAGGTAGGCGTTGTAGATGTGCTTGGAGAAAGCTTTCAGGTCAGCCACCTGCGGGTTCTGGCAGCTGATCTCACTTGCCGTCAGTCCTGCCACCAGCTTCCTCTTCTCTGCCTCCGGCATGCGGCCAAAGCGGATTGCTGTCGGGGGGGGGGCAAAACTGGCGGGTCAGGACACTGGGGATGATCCCAGGAGATGCGTCCAGGGAGGCAGCAGTCTGCTTTGCCACCGCAGACAGAGGTCTGCTGGTGAACACCTGCAGCTACGCAACACGATGCTCCTCCAGGGCTGCAGCTCCTCTGGCATCAACACCTTCATGAACCAGCCATTACTGCTGCCCTTGCCAACACAACCTCACACTAAGCTCCCATCCCCACTCCTTTGTGCTCTTGCAAAAACTCTGCTCCCCACATAAACACCTTTGCTTGGCCAGGAACAAGACGGTTACACCTGAAGTTTAAAAATCCCAGCACAGAAGAGCAATCTGTGTGTCCAGTTCCCTCTGGGTCAACCCGTAAGGGACAACCATGTGCCAACAGCCAGCCTGCGTGGTGGGAATGAACAGCCCCTTCTCACTCAGAAGGGGATGAAGAGTCAAAGGCTCAAAGCATTGGTTTTGAAAGATGATCCCCTAGCAAGAAGAAAGCCACAGGATAAAGCAAGCTACATACAGCCTCCCCATGCAAACCCTTCACAGAAGGGCAGGTGGCCCTGTGGCACCCAGCCAGCCAGGCCTGTGGATAGTGGTGACGCTTACCGTTATGTGACATGCCCAGCGAGAGGCATTTCTGGAAGCGGCAGTACTGGCACTTGTTCCGGTTCTTCTTCTGAATCTTGCAGCTCCGCTCACACTTCTCGTACTCCAGCTTCATGCGGATTGTCCGGCGGAAGAAACCCTGCAGGCAGGTGGCACAGAGGGGGGCGCGGAGCAGGGGGACAAGGGAACAGCAGTATTAGCACCTGTGGTTTGGGACCAGGCTAGTTTATTATCCCCAGGAGCCTCATGGGGGTTCAGCCGGGTGGGGAGGAGGAGCCCTGGGTCTCTGACACAAACACAGTCTCTATCTCAAGAAGAAGTCGTGTGGTGGGAGAAGGGGGCTGCAGAGGAGGAACCGTGGAGGGCAGCCCACAGTCCGGTGGCGGATACTGCGTGTGTGATACTGCAGGCAGCCAGCAGGGAGGGATGGAGGAACAAGCTGCGGGCCCGCCCCAGCCTGCAGGAATGTCTGGCAGGACCTGGGCCGCTAATGCAGCCCCGCTGGCATCTGCTGTGGGGGAGAGAATTTGAGAGGCAGATCCAAGCTGTGGTCAGTGATCCCAGGCAGATGAACGCACAGCTCACTGCTGATCTGCAGCACAGAAAGCATCTTTAACAGCAAAGTCAGGGTCCCCATGGAGACAGACTGATTTACCTTACAAAATAAAACACGATGGGGCAAGATTTGGGCCATATGTATCTCAGCTGCCTCCCCCAGGACAGTATTTGCGTGCCTGCCTCTATACTCCACACTCTCTAGACAGGTTGCAAATTATTTTTTTACAATCACTCAATCCTGCATCCCTGCTTTGCTGCAAACCTGCTTGTTTAAGAGATTGCGTGCTCCCTGGGGTTTAATCTCTGCTTGGCATTGCTGAACCCAGCCCTCCCCAGGGTGTACGTACCTTGCAGCCCTCGCAGGCATGCACGCCGTAGTGAAATCCCGAGGCTTTGTCTCCGCAGACCCTGCACTCCACGTTCAGTGCTCCCAAGGCCGCCTCCTCGCAGCCCATCTGCAGTTGGTCTGACAGGGAGGGAGAGGAGCTCTGCGAAAGGTCTGCAAACATGCAAAGGGATATGTCCTTTCACGTAGTAGCTGCAAGCCCAGCATAGCGTCGAACTCCTCCAGCCATGGGGCTGACAAGGGATTTCCAGCACTGTCCCAGCCTGCCACTGGCATTGCATCTGGGCAGTTAACCTCTGATATCAGGCACTGGCTGCAGGCAGATGCCATGCACAGAACCAAGAGTGCCCCCAGTGTGCCCAGCAGCTGAGAGGCTCCACATCAATGCTGATTTCTTCCCTCTGGCATTCATGTCTAGGCAATGGAACCCAACCAGCAAATTTTACAATCCCCAGTTGGCAGGCAGCTGGCACAGGGCTGCCCAGCTGGAACGCCTGGGGCTCTGGAGGAGCCTCTTCAGCAGCAACAAACCTTCTCCTCCAGTTCCTACAATCAGTTTGCCCTGAAGACTTCATGAAGCAGCCAGGAAGCATTCTCAGGCACCCTGAGAGTCCTCCCATCTGGGGCACAATGTTACCTTTTAATTTCCATCTCCCAACCCGCTGCCAACAGCTGTGCAGTGACTGCAGCGGAAGAAATAAGCCTCTCCATAACTGAGCTCTTGATGCATTATTTCACAAAGGGAAGAGATTAAAACAAGCCAAACTCCATTCACGGGCAGGTCCTCTGCCCTTTGTAGCTGAGCACACTGCCCAGAGGATGTGGATGCCTGGATGCTCCAGGGACAGACGAGCTCCCACGGCTCCACCCACCTGTGTAGCTGCTCGAAGGCAGCGAGCTGTCTGGTCCTCCGCTTGGGTCTGAGGGTCCACTTGCCACCATCACTGCCTCTTCCTCTTCCTCCTCCTCTTCCCTGACCTCAGGTACTTCCTCCTGTAGTTGTTCCATAATTGATCACCCCTCAGTGCCAAGACTGCAATCCCTGTCATAGCTCTGGCATCATCCGCGTCTACCCAAGATGGACCCTACCAGGCTGTTCCTGCTAGCCTGCGGGACAGAGGGAGAAATGTGCCATGTCAGCTCTGAACACAGAGCATCTCAGCAGCACGGCGGTGTGTAACCACACTAGTCCTGCTCTTCTTTCTCTCCTTATCCAGGGAGACAAGTAGAACCCAGGGCCGGTCACTTTGCACTCTGGTATAAATGCTCTGTAAGACTCAAGGAAGCAAAAGCTCACTGAAATCATATTTAAAGCCCAGCAGACAGAGCCCAGATCACAAACCAGCCCAGATGCCACCCAGGGACCTGGCCTCCCCTGCTTCCAAGTCCCATAACAGAAACACTGCCTCAGACAATGTTCCCCAGAGCCGCTAGCACCCTGGGATGTCACAGTGGTAGCCAAGGCCAGGGTTTGACAGAGCCAACACCACCAGAAAGAAAATTAAGGTAGGTCTGGCTTCACCCTCCATCCCCACCCAGCCAAGGCAGAGCTCACATCAAGGGCAGTGGCTGATCAGGACACAGTGGCTCCATGCCCTGGGTGGGAGATGCTGGGGGAGCAGGGCTCCGTGTGGCAGCAGGCAGTGGCCGAAAGCCCCTGGCCTGTGCGAGCCATCTGCAAGGCTTCCTGCCAGCCCCTGCACTCATGCTCCTTCCCATTACAGCACTGCCGGTTACAGAATTGGTGTTTATTGTCACTCGTCGCGTTGTAACTGGCCCTGGCTCCTCTGCCAAGAGCTGCTGCGTTGAACGTGTTGCTGTTGCTCCACGCAGCTGCTGGGCCGTGCTCAGCCACGGGGTCCAGCGGCATGATCGCGATGGCCGCACAATCCAGCTAGTGTCTTAATTCTGGGTTTCCTGTGGGAGGAACAGCCCCGTCCTCCCTGCCACACACTTCCGCTCCTTGTTTGCCTTAATCCGTCCCAAACAGCCCACAAAAAGCTCAAGCCATGCAAGCGATGCATCCTCAGTACTGTGACCATCGCAGAGCCATTCCCACCTCCCTCCTAACCATGCTGAATCTCACCCGAGCGTCCAGCTCACGCTGCAACATCCTGGCGCTCATTTACCTTGACTCCTAAACTTACTCTTGCTTGAGTAATTAGTATCTCAAGCCCAGTCTATGTAGAGTTGCATCCACTTCCTTAAAGGAGCTATTTTTAAATGGAGAAATATCTATCAGAAAAGCCACTGAAATCCAGCTTCCACCAGGAAAACCTCAAAGCAAATGCAGGCACAAGTTAAACTGATGCAGCACCCTCAAGCCTGCATTAGAGTGAAGTGAGCAAGCTGCTTGCAGGGGACTCGTACAAGGGCAACCCCCAAGCAATAGGATGGTCTAGCCCACGCCACAGCACAGGGCTTGCTGGAGGAGGGCAGCAGTGACCCAGGACTCCCTGGGCTCATTTTCCCTCCTGCAGCAGACCCTCATGCCCAGCACCTTGAACTTGAGCTGCAGCTAGCTCCCTTGGATTTGCTGGAAAGCCATCAGCGCCAAGCAAGGTCAGAGCTTCCTGCAAGATCAAGCAAGCAGCCAAGGGACAGGACAAAGCCTGAAAGCGGGAGGTTGAATGCAAACACGTCACAAAGCCAGGACACCAGTCACCCCCTGGAGCCAGTGCTGCACTGAAGCCTGGGTCTCCCGCAGGCAAGGGGGCTTTGCTTTTCCTCTCCACGCTGCAAATTCAGACTGCAGGACAGATGGCTTTGTTTCAAGCAGAGGTACGTTAGAGGCAATGAGCAAGCACGACCGCCCTGCTCTCCTTTGCAGCAGGAGCAGGCAGACGGGTGCTTAGACAAGGGTAGAGCGCTCCCTTCCCATGCCTCTCTGCAAGAGCACTAAGGGACCATTGAAGGGCTGTGTTATCCTTGGCCTCCTCTCACACATCCCGCACGGTGCGACATGGCACACAGGCAGGAAAACCTATTCATTGGAGATGGAGGGTAACGAGCTTGATCGTTTTGAAGGCTATATATAACTGAATGTACAAGCATCAGGAAAACACTTCTGCCTGGAACAGCAGTTACTGGGGGAAGTTTGTGGCAGGAGAAACCAATCTACAATGGAAAATATATCCAGCAGAAGCTTAATGAGCTTCTTATTAGCTCTTTGTCTCTGTCATCCAGCACAGGCCACTTGCTTTAAACTCAGTGCAGACGGAGCCCTCTGCTTGGCCCCAGATGCCTCACGGCACATTGCCATTGGAATAACATGGACACATTGCTTCAGCTGCATCCCTGGCATGCTGTCCTCCATCTGCTGGGTCTACTCAGGGATGTGTACTGCTGGGATGGCAGCGAGTCTGTGACACGCAGCTTGCTCCCCAAAACCCACCAAAGCAACCCCAAAACTGTGCTTGGAGTTGGTCTGGCTAGAGATGGGCATGCAGCCCTGAGAAGGGGGAAAGCAGAGGGCGAGATGTGCAGACAGCAATGTCAGGCTCCAGCTAAGGCTCCCCATGTGCACGCAGGCATTATGGGAAGGATAAGGACTCAGATCCCACCCTTCAAGAGTGGCTGGAGAGCCAGAGAGAGAAAAACTTTTACCAGAAGGCTCTGAATGCACTGTTTTAACATCTCCTTGCAGGCCAAAAGTACAGGGGCCTGGGCAGAGGGAAGCTGCAAGAGCTGTTTGCACACCTGCCTTTCCCTTAGCCATTCCCCTATTTTCTAAACAACAGAGATAGAGGGAGAGGAGGGGGAAAAAGGGATTGATTTCACACAGGAGGGTGCACCCCCTACCTTCAGCAGATGAAAGGCCAAGGCAGCTGCCACCCAGATGAAAGGCAGGGCACAGGCCGTGCCTGTGCACCCCAGCATGGAGCAAGCTGGCTCAGCAGGGCCCCTGGAGAGATACGGACCTCCAGCCCTCCCCTCTGGGCTGGGGGCAGTGTTGTGGCAGCACGCAGAGACCGTGGAGATTTGCCAAGGTTTCACACATGCTCCTCCATTCCCCTGTGAGCTCCGTGGTTCAGAGTGGGGTATCCTGGGAAGCTGGAGCTCCTGAGAAGTTTGTCTGAACTCTGTCCCTCTGAGCATGAGGAGGGACCTGCCCTGCCAGCACGGCCAAGGGCAGGGTTGTAGCGGCCCTGCATCTTTGTGGAATGGCACCAGGGATGGCTGCATGGATGGCAGAGGATGGCCAAAGGGCCCATCTCAACCCCAGGACCTCTCCATCCGTTTGGCGCCTCCACATCCAGCTGCCAAGCAGGCAGAGCCAGAGGAAGGATAACATGGTCTGCTCCCCTTAGCTAAAAAGCCACCTGCCGGAGCACAGCACACAAGCTTCAAGCTGCAGGAAGAAGGGCAGAGATTCCTGCCTGGTATAGCCACCCCCTTTTTCTGTTTGGCAGCTGTCACAGGGCAGCAATGGAAAGAGAGTACGGAAACAAGGACGGGGACTGTGAATTCCTTCCTAAGCTTCTCCAAAAAACCCGGCAAAGCTGTTTCCCCTCCTCTTCCCACAGGATGGGAACAAGCGAGACAGCAAGCATCTCGTGACTTACTCTGCCCTTGCCTCAATCCCTGTTCCAAAGAGCTTCGATAACCCTGGCTGAGACAGCAGCCTCCCTCCTGGGAGCCTGCAGCTGGCAGAGGGTGGGATTGTTTGCTGGCTCTGGGCTTGGGCAGATGCCTGCTGGCTGCCCCGCTCCCATGATGCAAACAGCACGGGCAACAGGTTTATCTTTACTAGAAGCAGGAGCTGGCGTCTATGCCAAGCTAAACCGTATGGCAGGAATGAGTGGAAGAGACATGGCATAATGAGAGGGGGAAAAAAAACAAGAACAAAAGTTAAAAGTAGACAAATCTTCAGCGTGGACCCCCTGCAAGAAGGCAGTACTTCTCTGGAGCCGACCAAGATCCAAGCCTCCTGTACATCAACCTGCAGCCTATACCCTTTTGGCCTGAGCACTCTTCACCACTGATTAGCATGTAAACCTTGGAGCCAAGTTCAGAGAAGCAGAAGCTGACAAACTGTTGAGGAAGCGCCTGTTTCCCCACAGTCCGTGTGCAGGAAGGGTGGTGGGACGATGTGACAGAGAAGCCCAGTTTCTCACCAGTGTTCAAGTCCCGCACACAGAGTGAAGTGTCACAAGAAGGGGATGTGTGATTCAACGCAGACACCCAGGCACTGGCCGCCAGACAGCCACAAAATAAGATCGAGGAAGTGCTCGTAATTAGAAGGACCTCATCTTTAAACCAGGTGTAGTTTCACTGGTGGTGAGCTCAAACAAGAGGTAATTCCAGCGTGCTCACAGGGGTGAAGCGAGGATGCCCGCCCCCATTTCCCTCCAGAAGAACATACATTTGCTTCTAATACATTTATGCAGATGGGATTGACCAAGTCCCCATTGCAGTCTGGAGCATCACCACACAAGATCCCTCCCTGGAAGACGGGGGTTTCCAGGCAAAGCAAAATGCCAAAAAAGGGTCCAAACCTCCCAAAGGCCAAATCAGAGTTGATCTGCTCAACGTGGTTGTTCAAGTTACTGTAAAAGAGGTCACCAGGAATTGAGAAAGGAAACCAATTTACTGTGGGAGTGCTTCTGGCTTGCGTTTTTATTCCTCTGGACAAAAATATTAGCCAAATTCACAGTTAACAGAAGTGAATCCTTTTGGAATAGGCGAGATGAGAACTCAGCCCACTGTACAGCAGTGCTTTGTGATGTGCAACACATATTGAATCCACAAACAAACACTGAACTGAATCCATAAAAAAAAGTGATTGCCGCTTGTTGGCCATCATTTGCAGATGTCCCTTGGGTTGTTTCACTGATTCTGACATCTGCTGATCAAGTACCAGTTTCTGTTCCTCCTCCTACACGTCAGCTACTACTAATAAAAGCCGAGTAAGAGCTAAGCAGATGCTGCAATACAGGAAAGGTAACTAAGTGCACAAAACAGGAGACACAAACATTGAAAACATGTTTGTTTTTGTTCCTGAAAAATCAACACACCCACTCATTAGCTAATGAGATCTCAGCAGCACTTTCTACCCAAGTGCTTCCTCCCTTACTCAAAATCTTGGCTGCAAGGCAGGCTACATGCA